TAGTAGTTGATGCGACCTTAAATAACAAAACAAAACAAACTGTGAGGCGGTGTTTCTAGAAAAGTGTTTGTGTGTGTGCGTGTGTGTGACAGAGAGAGAGTGAAAGGTGGTATCGCAACCAGGACACAGTGAATATAAATTGTGGATTTATATTGTGTATTTCTGGTGTTAATATAAGGAAATGTGAAAAGAGCTTGGAAGCTGTCATTTGCAACTTGAAAAGAAATATTACTTTTAATGTTATGTAATCATTAAATCTATTTTAAATTGCACTCAGATATCAGAAGCTATAATGGTGGATGCCGTTGGTTCGCATTAACATAAAATAATGATTTTATTTACGACTAAAATAATCACCGCGCGTCGTGAATACATCAGCACAAAACTGTTTTCGTTTAAACGCTTGAATAAAAAAATGTGTTTCGAGCTTAGTTTCTTGAAGAATTTTTCAAATGGTAATTGAAGTGTCAAAAATGTTCATATTGTAATATTACATAACCAGTAACAATATCGCGAGAAATTCCGTGCTTTTGAAGCACCTCTTGCTTCAGAGTATAACATATTAACAAAAACATTACATTTTACTAATTTTATGTGAAAAGATATAAAACACTATCTGAAATGAAAACCAACAAAAACTGACTCTAAAGGATGTAGTTGTAACACCCATTACAAGATAAGATTACAAGATTGCATCACAATAGAATGCTCATATTCGATAATAAAAACAGTACTGATAATTTATGTAACTGCAACTAAAAGATATTTTGTTGAAATGTTATTATGTTGAAATCATACTGTAAATTGCTCAATTTGCGAACGCTATTCAAGTTGAACCTACTTGTCAGGACAAGAAGAAGTAAACAAACTGTTTACAGTCGATGTAAATTTTACTTGCAACAACAATAACGCTCTCAAAAACAAAACTCAGCAACGCAACTTGTTTGTAAAGTACAAATCGGAGGATGAATACATTACGCACAAGTTAACATTCCCGACAATTTTCTTGTTTTCTTCAGGATATCCCCAAGTGAAATTGATTTTTTTCATTCCATTTCTTATACGATTTTGTAAGGATGTTTTCGAATCTCGACTTAAAAGAGTTTTTATTTTCAAGAGGGGAAACAGAATTTTGAGAAACATTTTATGAAAACGGGAAGCAGACAATGACACAAAGGTGTAAGACGTACATTAAACCAGACGTACATTAATTTTATTTCAAATTCCATATTTAATAGAGCGCAACTTGTACAGCTGAGAGAGACAACGGAAAGAAAATTACAGGAATGCCGATGAAATGCTGATGAAAGCGGCGGCGATGGTTTAACGGTACCGGACTGTTGTACCCATGTTCGCGGGTTCAAACCCGATCGAAGCCGTGGATTTTTAAGGGCGAAAAAAATCCTTCGTACGCCTTCCTTCGGGGGGGAAGTAAAGCCGGCTGTCCCATGTTAGTAGATTTACTGGCATGTAAAAGATCCTCAAGCCTAAATGACGCCTCTGAGCTAAATTCAAACCGCCTGTTTTTTCGCCCAAGAAATACCTCCTTCCTCTGCTAGTTGGTGAAAGGAGCGTAGCAAAATTTGCGTGGTAAGGCGGAAGAGCGGGCCTGATGGCCCGAGTCTCGCCACGTAAAATAAGGCAAATTCAATTTAATTAAAAAAATTATCAAATCATTAATCATGCCATCAAACCATGCAATTAATTCGAAATTTAATACTGAAGTAAAAATCAAGTACAAAGAATGTACATTCTAGAATGTGAATCCTGAATAATGTAATATTGTACTACATGCCAATATTTCAATATTTTCTGATAAATGAACGCACGTTATAACTATTCACGTTTTTGAAACTATAAAACTAAAGAAGATTTGATTCCCTTTGACGTTTCATTAACTGCTCTGAATAAACTATATTATTCTCTTTTGAATACTACTTTTAACAAATATCTAGCAAGACACGAATTGTGTGTGCAGGTCGAGAGATAAGATCAAAAACGGAATGTCACGCTTGGTCATTGCTCTGCAATAGCAGTAGTGTTTTGTCTATTTGATCCTCTTCTCACTTATGGTTTTGGGAATCTTTACGCGTTCTGATGAGCTCGGGAACAGATAGTTCGATGCCACTTTAGAATGAAAGTTCATCGAAATAGTTCAAAGGCAATGTGATCCAGATCTTCGTCTCCCCCGACTAAATAAGAAATGTACAACAATCGTCACTATATTACTTTGACATCTGTAGTCAAAAGTTAAGACTTTCAGAAACAAACTGGAAGGCCGAAGGTCGGAAAATACGTATTATTTCATTTTTGTTCCAAATATAGGATAGATCGACCTGATAACAAACTCTTCATATATTTCGTTTTTCAGGCAGTACTAGAAACAATAGTTACGAACTCTTGAGTATTTAATAATCTTTTTAATGTGAATGTTTTGAGTAGTATTTTGAATCATCTTTCTTTCCAAAAGGTACTTCAAGTCGTATAGATGGAAATATATGTCTTGTAACATACAGGAGGTTTGAACATTTTTCTTGGAAACTTATAGTTCTGGGAAGAACAAAGGTGCAAAACTGATGTGCACAGATATTCATGATAATACAGTGACTAATTTATTAAACTTTGCCTAGCAACGTGAAGTGTTTTAGAAGATTTGTTAATATTTGTTGCTGTTTTAAATTCAAAATAAACCGCATGGTATAAATTAAACAATGCCACCAGCCGGAGCCTCACGACACGTGCTTGATTATTCCAATCAACAATTCAGTGTCAATAACATTTTCGATTCTTCTTCACGCCTTCTGTTTCCTCCATCTTATTTCTGAAAAACATACTAGGAATGTGAAAAAAGACACTAATGACCCAAAGACTCGCCATGAATCTCGTTTGGCGTCAGCAACTAAAGCTACAGTTATTCCCATAATTTCCTTCTGCTTGTATGTCACAAGCAGTAAAGGAACCAGGATCATTTATTCTGCGGGTCATATACGCAAGTCTCTTCTTATGAAAAATGAAAGATACATTCGTTCTTATGTTATCACTTGCCCCTAGCCAAGAGTATATGTTGCATTTTATGCGCAAGTCGAAAATTAATAAGAGCAATCGTGCCCCCACAGTAAATGTAAAAGGAAACACATACAAGAAAAAATTACATTCAAATGATTTCATCAGCCTTTCGAACAGCTGGGCAGAGCTCGGTCATATTAGTCCGGATCACATACTACACAAGAGAACATGGATGGGTTACTTTACTTCGCAATGCAAACGGAAAAGAGAAAAAACACCTAGGAGGCTGTCGCTACACGGTTGCCACCTCGGCGACGGGTTGGGGATGTGACGAAACACGAATGATGCGAGCAAAAGACGCACGGCACTTTAAACCAAGCTAGAGGGGGAGCAGAAAGGGTAAAAGGGGGAAAGAAGGGATAGATGGGAATGGCGTATACGGAAAATTCCGAGCAATGAGGTGAAAATGGTGAGGAATGTCAATGATCATTACTAGAAAATGAACAATAACAGTGCTTATTGACGCAATGCAATCTACCTCGAAATTACAGGAGACGAGAAAACAAAATCCTATTCCTACGGTAAAAATAGAATGCCGAGCATGAAATATTAAAGATTAGGAACAGAAAGCAATATCTCCAGCAAAAATGTATTTTTTTGTAGGAGACGCTGAGAGAAAAGCATCTATTGTGTGCAAATATATTGCACATAAACAAATGACAGAATACTCAAGGGAGCAAAAATAGCAGTGGTATTCACACTTATATTAGTACAAATAATAATTATTTTTATTTCACTCATTTATTGGAAGTATTCTCGACATCCTTAAGAGTATGCGCAAGCGCAATGTGTTCCTGCAATAGAATCGACGAATCGTAATGACAAATTCGTTTACTGGACTACAAATTGCTCTGTGTTGTAAGCCCGATGCGGTGGCTCACTTTCCTCAAGAACTTACATTCAATCAGACATTAGACAGCACTACAGGCTGAGCATCCAATACTGCTGCGGTGGACTAGACTAAACCGTAATCAAACTCATATTACTTTCTAATCAATACAGCTTAATTCACGTGGTTTGTCAACTCTCTAATTTAATCATGGTCTGTCAAAACCTCAGTAAATATGCTTGTATTTGACTAGCAATTGCAATGAACCAATATTTCCACAAAAATAAATCTAATTTAATTATCTACTTAAACAGCAATCATTCTTGATTTTGTTTCTACCTTATTTACACTAAATTCTCCAATATCAAGCACGCCATTATGTAAGACATTCTACAAAAGAAACTGAAGAAAATGCAAGATACGGATGAAAGTTTTACATTTTTTGATCACGAGATGCTGTACCAATAAACTTGTGCTGCACAGCTATTACGTCACGACCGTTCTATAGTCATTAAAACACTGTTGAAACAATAAGAAAGAGAACTATACTTAAACAAGGAATGTCATGTCGTAATATTCTTAATTTTTTTAAAACTGAAATGAAGCATTTCGATACATTATGTACATCCAAGGTGTTCATGCAGTTGCTATTTCAGAAGCAGCTCAGGGAATGGAGACCTGACTCGCCCTAATTATTAATTTCATACAGGATACTACACGGGAGAATACACAGGGCTTAAAACTAGATGAACCCTCAAGTCGGAGCAAATGCGCACACCATGTGCTTCCCAACTGGGCGTGCCGCAAGCGGTGGGAAGGCAGGCAGTCGGCGAAACGAGAGGCGGGCGAGTGCAGCTGCAAGTGCACGCAATATGCAAACGGCGCAGCGGCGCACGCGACGCGGGGACGCTGGAGTCGCAGCATCCAGCGAGATCAATCGGAGCGGCGGCGTCCCGGGCGCCGGGCGGCGGCAGCGGCGGTGACGGCGCGGCGGAGACCCTTACCGTACAGGACACGACGGATGCGGTACGACGAGTCCTGCTCGGCTCGGGCACGCAGGAGCCGATGATGATCCCCATCACCGGGCGGCGGCCAGCGTCATCACGTGGCAGCGGCGCCGCGGGGAGAGGGCGGCGTTGGCGGCGGGGGCGGGGGCCGCGGCGGCGGCGGACGCGTTGCGCATCCCAGCCAGCGACCCGCGGACTGCGGCGGGCGACGCACGCGCGCGTTCGCGAGGGACGCGGCACCGGCGCTTGTAGGCGGCGCGGGGTGGCGCGAAGGCGCGACGGCGGCGGTGGCAGCGCGGGTGGGGCGGGGCGGGGGGGCGAGCAGACCGCGGCGTTGAGCGGTCGCTGGTGCGGGCGGAAGGTGACTGCGGCGGCGGTGGTGGTGGCGGGCGGTCGGCGACGCGCGCGGGCGAGAGAACCGACCGGCCGGGCGGGCGGCGGGCGGGCGGGTGGCGCGCGCGCGCTGCTCGGGTGCGCGCGGCCCGGCGCCACCGCCCCCGCCCCGCCCGGTCCCAGCCCCGCAGCATCGATCCGGCGGCGGCGGCGGCGGCGGCAGTCCGCGTGGCACGCCGTGCGCAACCGCCACCGTCGCCGCTGCCCCGGGGCCGGACGAGCCCGCGACGTCGCGGCCCGCGGGGGTGGGCAGGGGTGGGGCGGGGGTGGTCGAAACGAGGCCGCTGCGCCGCGAGGTACAACAACGCGAGCGGGCGGAGGCGGCGGAAGCGGCAGCGGGAGCCCGCGCGGAATCTCTCCGTGGTCCCAACGCGCGGATAGTTGATGCAAATGCCCCCGCATTGGGAGGCCCACGCCTCGCACACGATGGCCCCGTTGTTCCGATACAACGCCTGTCCTGCTCGCTACATTCTGTCACGAGGCGTTCACTGAGTAGTATGGTGTGCTCAGTGCTTTGTGTTGCATGATTTGCAAATTCACTGTTCCGCATTGAGCTAGATTTACGTGATCCAAATCATTTTATACCCATTATCTTCAGTCACAAGCGAATGTACAAGTAAACACGACAACAAATTGTCCGAATAATAAATTTCTGAGGTACGCGAGATGTTCATTGGTAAAGTAGAAAGTAATGAGGTCAATCTTTTTACCCTTTCACTTCTTTGATTTTTCAATGTGCACGTATGACTCAAATAACGTTCTTGAAATTATATTAATATACCATACAAACTACATTGTGATTTTTGCCTTCAGTTGGCCAGGTACATATCTACATGTAAACGCCCGTCTACTCAAGAAACAACTGATTGTATAAGAAACAGTTATTTACCTTTACTATCGAATTGATACAAAACCAACTTATAGTTAAAATACAACTTACTATGGCTTAAGTGCTTTAGAATTATTCCACATTCAACATTAAGAAACGACAAATATGAAAGTGTAGTTACATATGCATCCCGATTTATTCGGTCCTTAAACTACAAGCATCACATGTGAAAATAAATAACTTTGTATAAATGAACAACCACACATGCCATTTGATTTACAGTTGCTATTGCATTTTAGATTTAGAGTAACGTTAATCATTAATCTAGCCAGCAATACATCAGAGCCCACAGGAGCTGTTAGTGATTTAAAAACACAAGGACCTGGTTGCTTTGCTTTATGGCCTATGTAATAATGTAATTACAAAAATCTGTACGAAATGAGTCGCATCCAACGACTTAGCCGCTTCAGACGGTCCATCATAAATTCCGTTTCACTATGGTCGTAACTCCGCGCCATAAAATGCCACAGCGGGCCATAATGAAGGAAGAAGATATTCGGAAGAAGTCCCAGACCACCTCTTGCCTTCGCTCGCTCTCTTTCCATTTCGCTTCCTGACTTTTCGTCTTTATTCTCCCACGAGCATCGCTTTCCCAGTCCTTAAGAGATCAGGGGCGCCTTCTCGTAGTGCTCTTCCGCTCTTCTGTGCGTCTAAATCGACAATATGCTAATCTCCATTGCTCGCCCGTTTCTCTTCCCATCGTGATTTACTCTTCTCAACGTCTTTCATAGGCTTAACACGTAAATTTCTGCCGGACATTCATTTGTGTTCCAATTTACTTTAATTCCCTGTCAATCTCTTCAGCGAAGTAAAGTTAAGGACAGATTATTGTGGCGCGAATCATCATCATGACCATTCTTTTTATTGTTGTTAATAATATTATATTATATATTATTATTAATAGAACAAACACAGTTTTCGTTCAAAAAAGAAATCTTTCTACTCAAACAAATTTCGTAATTTTGCTCTGAATGAAAGAGTGGACACCAGATAATTTATTGCTTACTTTTATTGACCGGTTTTATAATATTATTTATTTAAAAACGTAAAGTTAGTAGAATGAACGCCTATCTGATTTCACTTGTCCATTACGTCTTTTGTTGGTAGTACCCACACCTTTAGGAAGGTCTTGGTGTGTTATTGAATATGTTATATGACAATTTTAATTGGGTTGATCCAGGGATTGATTAGCACAAGCGTGTGAGAGTGAAGCCTAGTAAATACCTAGCGACAAAGTTGTGGAACAGGTGTATCGCGAAGAGTCCAAGAGATGTTCTCCAATATGTTTTCCGAGTTTGGAAATGTCGCGATACAAAAGTTGCATGCCGTAGTTATGCCAGTCGAAACCAGATACACGATACAAATGTTGCGCAATATGAAACGTGTCGCGAGCCGCAGTCCTGGGACTCGCCGAATCCATTCTGCATATACCCGCCATGTGGTGTTGAGTTTTGGGTTCTGTTGTTTCGCGATGGATACTCAGCAGCTAAGATAGCGATTTTTTAAGGTCAATATTGATTTTTTGAACAATATTGAAGATTAGGAAGTGTGTATACACACGAGCAAACATCGTTTGAGAAGCATGCACTTTCAAAAATTTTCAGTGATGCATTACGTTGTTAAATTAAAGAGATTAATACTAATATTCACTACAATTTATATGTCTTGATAAATATAAAACATTTCTATTACATTATCGAAATGTTTAAACGTGTGTTCACAGTGATTGTACTGTTCTAGAATTTGTAAACCATATTTTAAAATTTCATTAGCTTTAGAGTAAAAGTATTGAACGACAATAAACAATATTTTGTGGGGCGGTTTTCCATAATCGCATATAGGGTAGTTATGGTAGCAACTTTCTACAGTTTCTTTTGTGCAAAGTAAATCAAGGATTCAGGAATACTAATAATATTTATAATTAATAATTATTATTACTTCATGTTCTAGAATCTACAAATATCGAAACTTTCCAAACTGAAATAGTTGTCGAAAAAAGTGCCGAAGCACCGTGTTTTGTTGCGGAATACAAAGAAAAGAAGTAATAGTAAAAAGCGTCTTAAACGTCTTTTAACAAGGCGACTTTAATTCTTTTGGAGTGAATAGCGTTTTCTGGTATTGAAAGATTTTGTAAGAATAAGTCTTCAGGAACAAGACAGCGGCGAAAACGTGACAATGTTTCGATGTAGCAAAGACAGAAGACATAGATCTTCCAATTCTAGAGGGTAAGAGGCCTTTCGACGCTTTAACGATTTTCTCAACTTTCGCTGCGTCGCGAGACGAAGGGAATATCCAAGAGCTTGAGTGTAATAACTACAGCCCGGAAGTTCGGGCAATTATTTACCCTAAAATAAGACAAGAAGGCATTTTATTTTACTAATTGGCATGCAAACAGACACCTGTTCTGAGTAAGACAAGGGCATAAAAAGACACATGGGAACAATAAAAAATACTAATTGACAGGAATTATTGTACACAAAATCATAATTTAAATGATTCAAATGTTCATTCTAACTCTAAAGTGCACATCAGAACTTACAGGTAAGGATACATCATTTTCTTTCTCTTGATTTCACATGACCAACCACGTCTATCACCATGACTTTACACTTCTAACACATATATAATTTTCAGTTTCCCTACTGAAAAATAATCTATGTACGAGAAGTACACTAAAATTTGGTATGATGACTATGAATTTGTTTCACTCGCGAAGATATTTCTAAAAAAACCTATTGAGGACACCTTTTTGAATTTTGGAATGGCATCAGTTCAATGCATCTATAGTTGCCGTTATTTGCATATGTGTAATCGCCAGCACTGAGAAGCTGGGTTCTCGAAAGCGATGAGAGGCTTTACACTCAGTCACAGGATGGATTCCTTGTCAGTGAACAAAGCCCGAGGCATAAATTAAGGAAATGAAAAAAAAAGTATTTACTAGTATCATCTTCCATTCCCATTTAGTTGTTAAACAGTTCCTGGCCCTGTAACCTCCGCTTGCAGAGATAGACGAACCGCGACACTGTGGCGTGTCCAGGATTGCAGTATGTTTCCAGCTTGACCGAGTTCCGTACCAGGAGCAAAGGGGGAAAAATAATGAAAAGGAAAAAAAAAGTCCAAAAAACCACAAATAATCACGAGAAGCTAAAAAAAGACAAAATTAAAAGCTTCTAAAACAACACTAGAAGAACGGTTTCTTCTTTTAACTTCCAGGCTCTATTAACAACGAATACCTACAGAACATTCTTACACCTGTTCAGGAAAACGTGCCGTAACGTGTTAAAAGAGGTGATAGGCATATGGAATGGGAAATAAGTTGTCCATGAAGGGATTCTTAGCATTAAACATTTAAGAGTCGACAAAAGAAAAAAAGAAAAATAATTTAGTTCAATGAAGTGAGGAAACTTAACATCGAATAATTTAATTAACGTTCTAATTACCGCAAAGTCCGTTTTCGAACCGAAAACCTTCCTACCCGCAATCAGCAGCGGCCACAACGCGCCAGCCTCAATCGCATCGGAAGAGAAGCGTGCGTCCTGGCGGGGCCCCCGCTGCGCGCGAGCGTCGCGTGGGGCCAGGCGCCTTCAACGGCCTCAGGGCGAACGGCCGACAGCGCAGGCGGTCCGCCCCTCCCCACCCCGAGCGACCTTCCGCGCGCCGCACGCGACCCGCTAATAAGGAGCCTACGAAGGCCGCTGGCGCGCGCGAGCCGCGCCCGCGCCCGCGCCCACGCCCACGCGCGCGACAAAGGGCCCCGCTGCACGCCCGATTCATGTAGGTCAATGAATCCTCTGGCGCTCACGGAAGTTCGCTACGAGAACGGACTCGTTTCCTCACTGTCGGCACGACCACGACTCTCCAGCTCCTCTTCGGCGGAGGCGGCCATCTGTCTACGGCGTCGTTATCCCTCTCCA